TGGCAAATATGCAGACCTCGCGTTCGAAATGTCACGCTTACATCCAAAGTGCCAAGTTCCGACTTCCCATTGTTCTCGGTGCCTTAGGTTTGGTACCTCCCAATCTGTTGACTCACATTGTGAGAGTACCCGGGGTTTGCAACGAGGAATACAGCCCTTCTAACAGTCTTTACTTTCTCGAAAAGTTCTGGGTGGGTTCCGACTAGGCAGCGCTTCCTGGGAGAAGTCCCATTCGCTGTCTGGGCTGAGCGTAGAGGGGGCAAGGGCCCCCGCGCTGATGATGAGCCTAACCAGCCTGACTGTGCCAAGATCACGCAAACCCTCTTCACATTCTCCGAAAAGTTCTGGGTGGGTTTGACAAGGCAGCGCTTATCTCGGGTACGGCGAGAGACATTCCGAGCATTCATTGAAACAGAGCCTGTTTAGTATAGCAGAACACACCATAATCTCAAGATCACGTGGAGCAAATAATCTCTAGAATATTATCTTAATTTGACTTAAGTTAATTGACTGTACGTCATGTTGAAATGTACACTTTTCGATGGTCATGTTTCTCTTTTGTTAAGACCGCCTCTGTGGTCTAATGAGAGAGGGTCCGCCAGGAGGGTGAAAGGTCCGTGGTTCGATTCCCGGCCGCGTCATACCAAAATACTTTTAAAGATGGTACTTGTTGTTACCCTGTCTGGCGCTCGACATTAATGGGCTAAAACAAGGACTGGTCAGCTCCGAGTTTACTGTGTCTGAGTGGAGTATTTATGTTAAACTGCGGCATGGCTGTCAGTGGCCCTAGCACTATTAATCGGCATCAGTCCGGACTAGTACAAGCAGCCACATGTTGCTATATAAGTGCAATTATCTTGGACGCGACGTTAAACCCCATTTCCCCTAACCTCACCTCATGGGAGTGAGTGAGTTGGGGTTTTACGCCAATTTTAGCAATATTCCTGCAATATTCCGGCGGGGAACCCCAGAAATGGGCGTCGCCATCACATTGTTAAATGGAAACAAGGCTCAGGGTGATCTGGCAATAAAAAAATATGAGTCTGCCAACTCAATTCAGTGATGTATAGTTACTGTTCTTGCGATATTAGTGCGAGACAAAGTCTGTGTCTGATTAGGGTAATAATTACAGCGTGTAAATCTAAACTCATTGAGGGGGCACGGGTGGCCCAGTCGTCTAAGGCGCCGCGATTCGCTGTGCAGAGTTTGCGTCCCCTTGGGCACGCCAGAAACCTATGATTGTGGGTTCGAATCCCGGTTCGCCCCGATTATGTTTCTAGGTTTGTCAGCACCATACCCGTGCCCGTGGGTTTCACCGAAGTGGTAAACGTCTGAGACTCGCATCACTTCGGGCTTTCCTCCCACATTAAGCTGACACGCCGTGATATAACTGGAATACTGTTAAAAGCGGCGTTAAACCAAACTCACTCACTCACTAAACTCATTGAGCAAAAGACCGGCATGACCCCCTCTTAATAGAGTGTGGAATAAGGCAAGCCATTGTTCTAGATCACTTGTAATCATTAACGGGAGTAAGTCAAGGCCGCCGATGAAGTTGAAGGTCAGAAATCACACACCTGGTATAACACGTTAGCGGCCATCTTTCTTTATACGCCACCAGTCAACTACCCTCCTTACCTCACAAGGCAAACCAATCTGACCGTTTTTTAATAGTGTAGGTAAAATACTCCTACTTGCCTCTGGGTAGAATACCCCCCACCCCCCCCCCCCCCCCCCCCCCCCCCCCCCACACCCACCCACACACACCACCATGCCTTTGACGTAGTTGACATATGCCCCAGGAATCAGGTGATATTTGACCAAGCTTTGACGTTTGACAGGTGATCGATACCAGGGAACCGGTGTTGCCTGATATAATAGCCCGGGGATTACAGTAGTTTGCAAAGAGATAATAGACGCCACAAGAATTAATTGTGATGAAATCATTATACAAAATCCACATCTCTTTCAATACGATATGATTAAATATCTGGATTATCAAGCGGAAATATGACCTGTGTAATCAAACACAATTCAATCATTTTGTACGCGATTATGTAATCAGTAGCCGGATATTTATCTGCGGGGATAAATTTACCATGCACCGCCCATTAATCACAGTATCTTAATATGTGTTCTCAATTTGGTGTGATATACCCTTTGACAAACGTGTTGATTGAAGCCACAATGACTTGATTCAATGGATGAATAGGGAACGTTTGATCTATTTGTTACAATTTGTCCCTCATTAATAGCTTCAAATATTGTTTTATATTGTTCTTGGATGGTTTTACCACATATCTGCTTTATCTTTAAAAAAACCTCATTACTAGGGTCAAGTAATGCATAAGCTGTAACATGAGTGAATTGATTGAATTTGTATGACAGCACATAATGTAACCGTACCAAGACATTTACTTTCAGCGTGTGCAAGAGCTTGCATTATATATTAATGTTATGAAAGCTAATCAGATGAAACACGATCCATATTTGTACAAAGATACAAAGATGTAATGACAGATATAGCCACGTCATTGTCCCATAAGAAAAATGTCTTTCCACCAGGTTCCATATTAAACCTCAATAGTTTCAACCGAAGAGGAATTTACGACAACCGTTTCAGGAAAGGAAAGGTTTACAGTTATTGAAATTGCAACAAGGATGAAAATATAGGTATGTCATCGAATAAATGTCAAATGTTCAAGTTAAAAGTTTTGATATATTGGTACGGGAATTATCAGATCTTTTCCAATGGTTTCTTTCTTGGACGGTTTACCAACCTCAAGAGAAAATCAGAACTCCGCAATCTTTGACCCAAGTGAATTTTACCATATGTTTACTGTACTGACGTAATCTACATCTACGAAATTTAGCTTGGATTAGATACATGTTCACGTTCAAATATTACAAATTTACTTCTAAATCAGACTTTTCAACATATTTAAGCCTCGTGTATAATGTAGTGCCGTGTTAATCCAAGCCAAGAGTTGAAATGAACTTAGGAGAATATACCGGTTATTGTCTGTTCATGAATAAGAATCGTCGAGAAGGTTCGTGAAGGTTCTCTAATGAACATCGCTTCCCTATTTTCTCAAATTTCAAAAACAGCTCCACTTGACAAAACATTCTTTTGTCAAAAACCGCATCGTATGATTGAAAATGTGTAATAATCGACCTCAGGTAAAGCGACTCATGATGGAATGATGTTTGTTGTTTGTTGTTTAATGCCGCACTCAGCAATATACCAGCTTTCTGATGTCGGTCTGGACTATATATCTCAGTGATGGACATGAGCATCGATCTAGGCAATTGGGATACGATGACATGCCTCAACCAATTACGTTTGTTTCCTCTTATGGCAAGCATGGGTTGCTAAAGACTATTTGTAACCCGGATCTTCACGGGAGACAAATATATGAATACCTATTGGATTATTCACCCATGTGGTCCGAGACAAGAAGGGTTTCAAGTCTGGATTTTGTGTCAGTCACTTACAAACTTATATAACATATACTTCCTGTTGTCCTCGGGGTTTATATCTACCCATGATCGAAGATGAGATAAGGTGAAATGGAGTTTAACGTCGCGTTCAACATTATTGTACTCTGCCACGTCTCTCTGTGTGGACCGCCTCCTTGAACTAGTGGTAGAACGTCCGCCCGGAGAGCGGAAGGTTCGGGGTTTGATCCCCGGCCGCGTCATACCAAAAGACGTTGAAAGATGGTACTTGTTGTTACCCTGTCTGGCGCTCGGCATTAAGGGGCTAAAACAAGGACTTGTCGGCTCGGAGTCAGTGTACTGTGTCTGAGTGGGGTAGTCATGTTAAACTGCGGCATGGTATCTCAGTGAGCTAGCACTATAAATCGGCGTCAGTCTGGACTAATACAAGCAGCCACACAAACACAAACACGTACATGCACATCGCTGTATAAGTGCAATAATCTTGGACGCGGCGTTAAACCCAATTTCACCTCACCTCACCTCTCTGTGTGTGGCCGCATTTTTACATGGATGCCCAAATCAGACACAGTATACCGACTCCACACCGACCAGTTATCACCTTAATCCCAAGTGCCAGGGAGGGATATGTTTGGCATGACGTGGCGTGTCGTGTCGTGGCGTGGCGTGGCGTGGCGTGGCGTGGCGTGGCGTGACGTTGTACATCAACACAAACACCGTCACTTGCTAATCGCCATTACCGAGTGTTGATTATTGACACTGCCATCATTCTGAATCATTAAGTACCAACAGATAAATTGACATTATCCGCAATGCATTATTCATAGAAGTGGTTGGCGGATCCCAATACACGATATTACAACACATCATTGCACTCTTGCATGTGACTGATCGCAAATATTTTTATACAACAACGAATGCTGTTTCCATCATTAAACCTAATGAAAATTGTAGATTACATGTTAACATTACTGGCAAAATTCAAAGTGTCAATGTCATGTCAAGTGTCATGCTTCTGTGAATGTGCAATGATATGACGTCGTTAATATCATATCATTTGACGTCAAGTGAAGCGTCTCAGTTTGTGCCAGTATGCCCCCCCCCCCCCCCCCCCCCCCCACCCCCCATGTTCATGCCGCGACTCCCGCTGAATTATACCTGAATCCTGGCTTGAATAGGGATAAATCCCTGTCGCCCGGATGTATTGATTGAAACTATTCTTAAACGACATCTCTTGTAGGAACAAGTACCGAATAATATCAAGTTTCTCCACAGTCTTAATTCCATGTCATAATGTGTGCCTAATAATAATTACTAAGTCTTACAATTTGCCGCCCTCGTGTAGTTTTCACTCTCTTTATTCAAGTAAAAAGTTATGAGTATGAATACCTCTGGGACATTTCACGTCTTGTATACAGATCTTGGGACAAGATGTCAGTGTTTGTTTGACAAAATATTTCACCTGACCTGAACATGTTGTTTAATGAGTACATATATTTCATTTATATTCATTTATTTCATGTCTTGGATGATTGTTTTAGATCTGAGCGGACAGCAGCAAGATGGAACGGCGGACATCATTGAAGTCGCCAGGGTAGGTCTTCGTTTTCTCTGCTCGAGCGGAAACAGGAAATGAAACATTTAGAAACACAAGGGATCATTGACGAATATACAAGAACATTTATGAACATTAAAGATCATAATCCGCACAAAAGAAAGTATACAACCATGTTTGGTGGTTGCTAAAATGAAACAAACAAAAAATGGTTATCCGATGATGGATCATAGTATTGTTTCGAACCGTTTTCAGCCCAGTACTGATTTGATAATGTTTGTAACATTTTGGTCGAATCCAGTTTTCAATTGTATCTTTTGCCCGGCAGTTTAGATGAAGATACAGAAGATAGATGAAAATAAATTTTATGAACATTCATGAACATTCATAAACGTTCAAAAATATATATGAACATACATTAACAGGAACGTAGGTGATTGTAAATTTGTAGTCTCAACAGTGTTCTGAGTGATGGGTTGATGGCACATGTTCTGTCCCTTAAGGAGTGCGGACGAGGTGACAGGAAGATGTCGCTGGATGCGGCTGCTCAGATCGCAGCAGCAAGGATTGCTGAACGCCAGACTCACAATTCGGCGTGGTACAGAGTGAACGCCACCCGAGTCATCACCGGCGGTCACAAACTTACACCCCCAGTCAACAAGGCCATCAAAGATGTGAGTATATTGTCACAACCTCACACCCCCAGTCAACAAGGCCATCAAAGGTGTGCGTATATTGCTACAACCTCACGCCCCCAGTCAACAAATCCATCAAAGATGTGAGTATATTGTCGGAACCTTACACCCCAAGTCGTGGGGACACTGGCACCAAAGCTAAACGATTGTGCCAAATACCAGGCTAGTGGCCTTGTAGACAACGTCACCCATAACGTCAACCCCAACAATACAAGCTATAGCCGAAAGTCAGTCTTCACTGCTGAGACAGAACATATTTCTTTTACTGCTTCGTGACATGCAGTGTTTTTTTCTCTGAGAGGAGGGGCAGAACATTGTTTTACACAAGACAGAACACCAACATGCCCAGTGAAGAACTGTTTTAAAAAAACCTACAGCGAAAGAATTTTTTTCTATTATTGACCTTGAAGAGATGTTTAAAGACGGAAATATACACATGCACAAAAGTTAAGCGCCACCATATTCATAGTCTCTTGATTTCACGTGTGGGAATCAGAAATACGAAATATGATGATGTATGACTGAATTAGGCTTCCATAGTTTCATGAACCCAAATTTGTCCAGATACCACAAGGAAAGCGTGCTTTACGTGTTGCTGCAGTTCCCCTACCCTATAAATAGTGAAATTCAAGTTTCAGACACGTGGTTGCATTTTGCTCCTGTGTGAGATTACCCTTCCAATAGAGGTTGAAAATCAGCCATGGTGAGGAGAAAGTTAACGAACGCTGAAAGATGGCAAGTGATATGCATGAAAAATGCTGGCATGTCATGCAGGGCCATTGCAAGACAAATGGGTCGTCATCACAGTGTTATCACTCGTTTGATTGTCAAACATGGTCAAACCAATGATGTCAATGACAGGCATAGGTCTGGTAGGCCAAGAAACAACCTCTAACAGAGAGGATAGACGTCTTTTCAGGATAGTCAGACGAAATCCATTTGCCACTTCAACAGGTTTAAGACTGCAGTGGATTACCCATCAGAGACTCTCGACGATGACCGTAAGGCGTCGCTGGTTATAACGCCAGAAGACCAGTAAAACGTCCTCAACTGACTGAGAGGCACATGCGAAATCGTCTGATATGGTGTCGTGCCCGTAGTCGATGGAACTTGGCCAACTGGAGAAGGATCCATTGGTTTGACGAGTGTCGAATGCTGCTACGAACTGTTGATGGTCGAATACGTGTTTGGAGGCAACGTAACACTCGTTTTGCACCAAGGAACATCCAGAAGACCTTAGCATGTGGCGGGGGGTCCGTCATGATATGGGGTTGTGTTTCCTTCGGCTGCAAACTTCCGCTGGTGACAATTCGTGGAAACCTGAATGGCCAACAATACCAAGATGCCGTTCTTCGTCCAGTGGTAGTCCCTCATTTTGACAACCTTCCTCTTCAGACAAGACCTGTTTACATGGACGACAATGCTAGACCACACAGATCTCGGGCAGTTTTGGCTTATTTGCGTCAAGAAGCTATTGCCACTCTTCCTTGGCCGGCCTGTAGTCCATATCTTAATCCGATTGAGCATCTCTCGGACATTCTTGGCCGGAAAATCAGACATCGTGATCCCCCAGTTCAAAATCTCGATGGACTTGAAGCCGCACTTCATGAAGAATGGATCCGTTTGCCTCAGAGAAGCATTCAACGACTTGTAATGAGTATGAGGCTTAGGGTTGAAGCTGTGCTCAATGTCCGTGGATCATACACACGTTACTGACATTTCTGTCTTGCAATAGACTCTGCACTTCCTAGGGTGTCTTTGTGACACCTGATATGGTCTGATGATATCATGACAGTTACATGACAAAAAAGTTTTTCAATGTTTTCTAATCCTTCAATTTCTGGTCTTCGGTAAAATTCCTTTCTGCTCATATTCTTTTGGAACACAAGATAAACTTGCTTTGGGACAGCTTTTGCATCACATGAGGTTTACATATACGGCTCATAACAATCGTACATCTCGTTATAATAGTCATCATTAAGTGCCAAAAGTAACAGCTCACAAATATGGTGGGTGGCGCTTAACTTTTGTGCATGTGTATATATGATGGACTGGCCTCAACAGTGTAAACTGTTATTCAATTTGCCATATCCGTCAGTACAGTTTGCCTTTTCTCTTATTTTTGCATCGAAAATTATTCATATTGTTCATGTTGTTCCTCACTCCTTCCAACACTACTTTGTCTCTGAGGACGAAACATCTAAGTCCCTAGTTCGAGTTCTAAGTGTACTGTTTCTTCTTTCACCTATCTAAATTTAAATTAAGTTAATTTGTTAATTTGTTTAACCTATCCAAATTTAAATTAAATTGAGTTAAATTTTTAATCCGTAATCAATCAATGACGAACCCTTTACTATCAAAGTCAATAAAAAGGTAGAAGCAGCATTTAAAATGTTTACCTTAATCCGCCTGTGTCGAAGCCTGTGATCTCGAAGCAAATGACGGTCGAACCTCAGTCTAATATGATTAGATGTTTCTAACTCGAATCATGTTTTTACGAAGTTGCCCAATGATTTTCTTTCATTTAAATCAGCAGGAATTTGTTTGAAAAAAAATCATCTGTACCTGAGAGTACTGAAAAACATGAATTTGACTCAGGGTTTGCAAAAATAATGAAGTTGTTCGTTAGAGCTCGAGGTGCTAGATGTTCTGTACAATACGATGTTGTGAGACCAAAAGAAATTCATTGGCTCCTTCAGCCGAAGAAATTGAAATCGAATGTGACTGAAAAAACCCCAAAAAAACATGCCCAGAGACACCCAAACGTGTTTTTCACCAAAAATATTTCACCACTATTTGGCATTTTAACCCCAATGGAATCTGCTTCGGCAGATAATCGAGACTGGTTATTTATGGCGTTGACGTTTTAATGTTAGGGGTCTCAATCGCTAACCAGAACGGCCCATTACTATCCTTTGTTGTGAGTCTTGTAGTTTCTCTATCACGTACTGGAATATTCATTTGGTATGAACAAAGCACTCCAAGAAAAGCATTCCAAGAAGGACTCACGCCCTTGCGTCACCGCCCTTTGTCCATCTCCGCTAAAAGAAGGTTCATTGTCTTGGATATTGATATTTCCCGTCGTAACCATCCACCTTGTGACTTAACAGTAAATATAAGAATGTATAATACCAATATAGGTTTATATTAAACAAATAGGCGTACCTTCTTACGAAGGACTATGTTACCATAGTGATTACAAACCCTTTGGATGAAAGAGAAAAGCCGGATGCGTATTTCTTTAGATCCACTTTATCAGACGTGCCACGCATTTGTGTTCCACACGTTGTCAACTTTTTAACATAGTAATACTTCTTCACTCCCCCACGCCGAACGCATCACGTATCGATTTCAACAACACTGTGGATTGATTTTCAATGTGGAATTAAATGTCTACAATAAGTGACTTTCTGCAGCAACACCTAACAAACACAATATCAATGTCATTCAGAGCTTGACGTAATGCATACATAATGGATAGAGACGCTGTATTGCAGAAATGACTTTGTGTGGTACGGGTAACAATAGGGCCAACGAATGTATGACAGTATGAAAAATCATATATCCTAATGATGGCACGAACTGACACGCTGCTACAATAGAACAATACTGACTGTACTTAACACACAGTCTTGTCCGTACATGACATCGCACAGGCCGCGGTGGGCGACGGAGGATGCCAGGTTTCCAAGTCTGTGAAAACAAAACTCGTGGAAGGACCGACGTTTATTTTTTCGATCGCTTCTTCAATACATACAATTGTTTTAATTGAAGGGAGATGTTTATTTTTATTCACAGCAAACATTTCATGACATCCAGCATTCACAGGAATCATGTTTTTGTTGATGTAACTTTTGTTCAATATTTTCTGGAACAAATTATTTTGTTTTCTCCAAAATATCTAATAATATCTAATGGGCAGTCTCAGGCGTCTGTTGAAAGGACAGACTGTTCTTCAATTTCGTACGAAACAGTTCAAACTGAAAACTGATTAATGATTAAAGCATATTTATATACTACTCAAGGGAAGAGTAAGATCCAATATGTTCATTGATCATTCATAGTCATGAAACAATCGGGTGTTATTTTACTTAGTTTGAGTGGTATACATTAGGGCCAATACTGAAACGTTATATGATATATGTTTCCCACATCTGATAACACCCACGCCCACGTTAAAGATAGGAAAAGTAAGGTTTTAATGGAGTTTAATTATACATATGACAATTTAATCTGTTTCCACGTCAGAAAGCAAATACCAATATATACATTTGAGGACAATAGAGGACATATGAATGACGAGTGTCGACTAAAACAGTCGTTACAGGAATCTATCATTACTATCGTAAAGGTCTAGCAGCGCATGGACAGCCGAGAACAAGTCACTAGTTGAAGGGTATACTTCATCTGCGAACACTGGCAAGCATTTATGAACATAAGACTTTAGTAGATGAACATGAGCCATATACTAAATGAAACCCATGCAATATTTGATGTTGCAACTTTAATATGGTGAGTTTAAGAAGGAATGTTTTTTTCAGAGTAAATCAGTTTGGTTTAACGCTGCTTTCTGAACAGAATTTCCGAAATATCAGGGTGTGTCAGGGGTAGAAAGTCCACAGTGGTGTAGCGGTTTATAATTACAACATTGGCAAAACCAACCAGCACGGGTATGGTGCTGAAAAACCAAGAATCATAACCAGATAAAATCTGGGATTCGAACCAACGACCAAAGGATTCCGGTTAGCCTGAACATCGGCATATCTAATGATGGGCCTTGGACTACTGGGCCACCCAAGGTATCCCAATCTCCCTTGTGGGAACTCAAGCAGCACCTGTTCACGGGAGACAAGTCTCACAATGACATCAATGGCAAATCCTTTAGGCCCAGATATTCTCACGAATCATTATTAGTTGTATCAATACATCGACGGCGATCAAAGGACAAATACCATCACAATACAATAGGACCGCATTCAAGGCCAAGTGGATACAGCGTCTGTCTGTCTGTCGAGGTTCGACATTGATTAGTCTGAAAACAGAGTCCTTGAATGTTTCCGCTTTCCCGTCCATGTGTAGAGAGGTAAATACAACTGAAGGGTCAGCAGCCGCAAGTATCCACCTCCCTTATTTACTTTCAGTTTCGTTTTCTTTTCTGATACCCATTTCTTCTCATGTAGACCGCCTATGAGGTGTAGTGGATAAAACGTCCGCGCGGAAAGCGAAGGTCTGGGGTTCGACCCCGGACCGCGTCGTACCGAAAGACGTTATAAGATGGTACTTGTTGTTACCCTGCTGGCGCTCGGCATTAAGTGGCTAAATCAAGGACTGGTCGGCTCTGAGTCAGTATACTGTGTCTAAGTCGGGTATCCATGTTAAACTGCAGCATGGTATCTCAGTGGGCTGACACTATTAAACCGGACTAGAACAAGCAGCAACACACACATAAGTGCATGCACATCACTCAATATAATTACAATAATCCTAAACCGACCTTAAACCCCAATTCACCCCACCTCATCTCATCTTTTCAATAACAAATCTTTTAGAAAAAAAACACAAACAAACCACACAAATATTCAGATTTTATTATATTTGCAATACAAACCCAGCGATTGCTTTGTATTGTCAGTTCTTCCAAGTACCTTGTAGCACTTTTCGGTACACTGTTGGCCCATTAGACAACACGTTTTCTGACAAGAAATTCTACATGAGCACGCTATTCAACAATAAAACTATCATTTATTGGACATGAAACCTGTCAACTGTGTTACACCTGCACTTTATGCTGTTGTCCGACTGCAACGTGGCATTGCAATATGTCAATACTGATTTGATATGCCCTTCATCTATAAACTGACTAGATGCTCTATATTCCCACCACGTATGATTCATCATGTAGCATCATATTAACGCTTCATTGTATCCGTGATTAGTTCATGCATGTGCATATTACCACCATTGACCCCTCTGGTGCGATGTTCGTGTTGATGAGAATATGCCTCAAAGAATGTATTTGTGTGCATGCATGCATGTATGATATTGTTCGATCTCCGGAATTAATGAAATTAGGGTATTTTAACTGAGGGAGAATTATACAGGTGACAAATCACGTCTGTTTTATGAAGCTGCATAGATGACGTTTTTTGTTTAATTGTATAAATGTATGTATTATTATATATATTACAATAAGTGTGGAAAATGACTGAAATTTTCATTTAGGCAATTTACAAAACTCTATAATATTTGAGTTATTTTACAAATTGAAAAATCTGCCCATTTATGTTATGATAACGAATTCCAAAATTTGGATGTTTAGTTTTCAAACACACAGGAGGATAGGATTAAGCAAAACCGAAAATCTATAATGTCATTTTTTTAATTTTCTCGGCTTCTAATCCTGGCATAATAATAGTCTACTGTGATGTAAAACCATTTTCAATTACTTAATAATATTTAGTCTAATGGCTAAAACCTTTAGGCATTCTAATAATTAAGTGAAACACATTAAACATTTACATGTATCTATCCATTCTGTATTCTTAAATGATTTATTCCAGTTATACGAAAACGTTGTTTACGAGAACGGAAACGCCGGGATCCGGAAAAGCAGCCTTGATATTTCTGAGTCTGGGAAAAAGGCCGTGATTGAGTTCACGGCCGCGAGCTGTGCCGTCCTTGAGAACGAAGGTCATGTCAGGCTCGGCGTGAGGCGGTCTGGAGACGTGGAGAGCTCCATCACAGTCGGGTAGGTGTCGTAGCTGCAGCAGGTGGAGCATGTGTCGCAGCTGTAGTGACTGCAGCAAATGTAGTAGTTGTCGTATATGCAGTAGGTATATTAGTTGCAGCAGGTGCACTTGGTGTCGAATTTGCAGCAGGCGGAGTAGGTGTCGCATGTGTGGTAGGCGTTGAAGATGTAGTTTGTCTGGGTGCAGTAGGTGTAGAAGGTGGCGCAGGTTTACAGTTGCAGCAGGTGTAGTAGCTGTTGTATTTGCTGCAGGAGAAGTAGAAATAGCAGGCGTTGAATGTGTCGAGGACACGCGAAACTCTCCGGGGGAATCGGCAGTTGTCGGAGTGGATATATGACACGACACTTGGCGTCTGCACGTCAATACCACTTGGCTGTACGGACTACACATTGTCCAGTTCCTCGCTGTAATAATCAGATGACATATGTTCGACCCATAAAGCGATTCGCTTACAGGAAGTAATTATTGGCTTAATATTGATATCATTAATTACTCGACTGTGACGAAAAGCCTCGTGTTTAAAACGTTTATCGAATAACCTACTTACATTGTAGGTACTATATGTGAAGAACATTCTTATTGTCCAATGAACAGCCTCCGTGGTCTAGTGGTAGAGCGTCCGCCCGGGGTTCGATCCCCGACCGCGTCATACCAAAAGACGTTAAAAGATGGTACTTGTTGTTACCCTGTCTGGCGCTCGGCATTAAGGGGCTAAAACAAGGACTGGTCGGCTCGGAGTCAGTATATTGTGTCTGAGTGGGGTGTTCATGTTAAACTGCGGCATGGTATCTCAGTGAGCTAGCACTATAAATCGGCATCAGTCCGGACTAATACAAGCAGCCACACAAACACACACACGTACATGCACGTCGCTATATTAGTGCAATAATCTTGGACGCGACGTTAAACCCAATTTCACCTCACCTCACCTATTGTCCAATGCCGTGGCAATACTTGGATATTGCTAAAAGCTGTTAGAGTGAGTGAGTGTGGTTTTACGCCGCTTTTAGCAATATTCCAGCAATATCACGGCGAAGGACACCAGAAATGAGCTTCAACATTGTACCCGTGTTGGAAATCGAACCCGGATCTTCGGCGAACGCTTTAACCACTAGGCTACCCCACCGCCCTTTAAAGCTGTTATAACCTACATCACGTGATATCAACTTGATTCAAGAAGAAGAGAGATGAGACGAGAGAAAGGGAGAGAATCATTCTTCGAGTCCAATGTCGTGATAATGCTGGAAGAAAGCTGCAATAATCTCCCTTAATCACTTGACATCAAGACAGGCTGACAAAGAGCGAAATCGAAACAGTTGCACTGAAGTATTTATAGGCACCATGTCAATTTCATTTGTTTTGACGGATAATTGTAGCAAGGTGATCTTGTTGATGTGGCGTTGCATTACTTCCACAGCGTGGAGACAATAGACGGGTCGGCGGAGGCGGGAAGCGACTACAAGCCAATCAAACAGAAACTGACCTTTGGGCCCAAGGAGTGTCTCAAGGACGTGTATGTGGAGATTGTGGATGACGATGTCTGGGAACCGGACGAGTTCTTCTTTGTCAAGCTTTTCCTTGAACCCGAGCAGGTCAAAGGTGACGAGGTCATCTTGGGGAAGGTCTCCATCAACCAGGTCACCATCGTCAACGATGACGGTAGGTGAATGATCATAGATACTGACGCAGTGGCCATCAAAAACTAATTTGCATAGGTCTGGCTAGATTATTTACAGACCGCCCTGATACAGGTGAACTAATGTTTGCAGCGGCTTAAAATAAGATTCAATCAAAACTGTATTTTTTATGCTAAGACAAACTTGGTCTTGGTTTGTTTGTTTGTTTGTTTGTTTGTTGTTTAACGCTATATAGTAATCCCGCTATATGACGGCGGTCCACCACCCGCTAAAAGCCTGCCCACCCGATCCCGTTAGTCGCCTCTTACGACAAGCATAGTTAACTTTTCCAGCAAGCATGGGTTGCTGAAGACTTATTCTACCCCGGATCTTCACCTGTAGGACAAACTTGAGGAACTGGTTGTGAACACTTTGATGATCACCTGTTAATTTTCTTTTCCTTTATGCTTTTGACTTAAATAAATCTTTATACGCATTTTGTAAACATTATGCAAAAGTGGTTGTATGGCCGTTACACGACATGTTTTTATATTTCAAAGAATCAGAAAAAATATAGATCTTCGATAGTGCAACCCTCTATATAAAAGTTTCATATATATTCAACAGGAAGCATATATTGCCATTTAATTATTTAAGACCCGGATCTTCACGTGTCTTTTAGACATTGAGCAGTCAGTCCTTGAATGTTTCCGCTTTCCCGTCAAGGAATAGCGAGATAAGTACAAGTGAAGGGTCAGCAACCGCAACTATCCAACTCTCTAATTTACTTTCAGCTTCTTTTTCTGTATTGATATTCTTGTTTATCACGAGGCAGATTGCTTCCGTGTTGCAGCGGGTAGAGCGTTTGCCCGCAGAGCAAATGCCCGAGACAAGTATCCAAATCCTATATCAAAGCCTACTTTAAGTGTCAGAAAACACGAGCCTACTTTGATATAGACTAGTGGACACACTTGCCTCGGGATGGTATCCGGAGAGCGGAAGGTCGGCGTCATACTTAATGACGTAATATGATAATAATTGAAGGCTTGAAGGCGATACAAACAGCCGGATACAAACAATAATAACAACAACACACACACGCACACATGCGTTGTGCAGAGTTGCGCCCCTTAAGCACCCCCGGAAGCTGCGATCGTGCTCGTGAATTTCCCCAAAGTTACAAACGTCTGAGACCTTCATCACTTCGGGCTTTCCTCCACATTAACCTGACACGCCGTGATATAACTGGAATACTGTTCAGTGCGGCGTGTGCGGCAATTAACCTCAACTCACTTACTCATTCACTAGCTCATTCTTACATTTTTACAAGTATATCAACCGTCGATAGTGTTGTGCGTAATATAATTGATCATCGATGAATTAGCATATGGACATCGACATCTGCGATGCATCGTTAGTTCGACTAATCGTGTCACCCATGTGCTCATGCAATCAGTCACTGGTTATTACTCAATTTTGAAATGGCGCGCTGATCTGCTTTAACCAACATTCATAGCACACAAAAACAATAGTGAGTGAGTGTGTATGGTTTTACGCCGCTTTTAGCAATATTCCAGCAATATCACGGCGGGGGACACCAGAAATGGGCTTTACACATTGTACCCATGTGGGAAAAAAACCCGGGTCCTCGGCGTGACGAGCGAACGCTTTAACCACGAGGCTACCCCACCGCCCCACAGAAGAACAAGACGTTGCGACCCACAACTATCACAAGCATTTAATCGATGGAGGATAAAGTGTCAATTAGAATATATCAATACGGGCGTCGCCATTCCAAGTAGATAGTCAGTCCTCTTTACATACATGGAAGCAGTTGAATGCGTTATATAATGCTTCTGTATAATCACGAACAAGGCTAATGACTGTATGAGTGGATTTGAGTGGTATGTCATGTTCGCTGATTTTCAGCAGGAATATGGGATCGAATCCCGGGAACACTTTCCCTCGATTTTTTATTTGATTCAAATATTTACATGATCAATAATTTCACTCAGCGTCTCTGGTTACACTGTCTCTCAAATGGATGGATTGCTTAATACTGTCTTAATTTCTGTTCATACGACAGATGCGGTTACTAAGTAACGAGGGCTCTGTATTTCCGTAAACCAAAACAACAGATGTAATTTGGAAAATGATATTGAGAGGGAAAGTCATATATCAGTTAAAAACCCAATTATTTTCAAATCAGCATATAAACTTTATACGATACAATTGGTAATGTATTGCTTCTCGCGTCACGCCTAAATGTTTAGTTTCTCATCACAAGTTAATTTTTTAAATGGCCTTTCCCCATCAATTTTTAAATCATTCAGAAAACTTCTTCAATCTTGAACAAACACAGAATAGTTAAGACAAAGTACGATAATCCTCAAATAATAAGTTCTGATAAAAACATTCACTGTATGTGCTGTAAATGGCCCCTACCTTGACAAACGGGGGCACGGGTGGCCCAGTCGTCTAAGGCGCCGCGATTCGCTGTGCAGAGTTGCGTCCCTTGGGCTCGCCAGAAACCTATGATTGTGGGTTCGAATCCCGGTTCGCCCCGATTATGTTTCTAGGTTTGTCAGCACCATACCCGTGCTCGTGGGTTTCACCAAAGTGGTAAACGTGTGAGACCTGCATCACTTCGGGCTTTCCTCCCACATTAAGCTGACACGCCGTGATATAACTGTAATAGTGTTAAAAGCGGCGTTAAACCAACTCACTCACTCAACTACCTTGACAAACACATGAATGACGCGCGTTGTTAAAAGTTGCCAGGCAAAGGAGCTTCACGTGCGAAACAACAATGTTTTTTTTTATAACATATATTATATATGTGTATGTTTGTCTAATGGCAATGTACATATGGGTTTTATCTCTTTAAACAACCACTTTTCAAAATCGATAAAACACATTTTCAATGCTTAGGTGAATATCAAGTCTGTCCAACGTTTTCAGCTTGAACATCGATTTATCATGAAAATCGAGATCTAAAGTGTTTCCGCTGTGCCGATCAGTTACAGCGAGGTAAATACAACTGGAGGGTTAGCAACCACAAGTATTCAAACAGTCATATTTACATACAATTTGTAGAATATTGACGTTTCAAGCAATATTTACTTACAGATAAGCAGCAACAGGGAGACAAATAGTGATTCTCTGTAACTATATTCTAAGATGTGGTTTGTGTCGCAAACATGTCGCAAACATTGGTGCTTCTGAGAATAGTCGAAGTATGTTTTGAGAAGCTATATCTTAGAATACTGGCCAGCGTTGCCTCCGTAAATAGAACCCCAAGAGACGTTTATTCTTTAAACAATCACGTAACAACGCTATGGCGTATTGTGGTCAAAACACTAACCTATATGTAATTCATATCTCCCTGTTTTGAGTTCTGTATGCAGCATAAACCAGCGAAACCGATAATCCGGCTCTGACTAATGATAATCCGGATTAGCCACGCCCACCTGGATATAATACCAAACATGTACGAGTGTACATACCTCTACTACTTTTCAGAACTTCTTGCCATTATTTACCGATTGAATGTGGAAGATGGAATCACACCCCTTTATTAGATAGAAAGTGTACTGTTTGTAAAAGCCAAGACATTGCGGATGAATATCATTATATTTTTAAATGTGAATATTTTAAAGAAGTGTGACAATTATACATACCAAAGACTCTTATTGTACATCCATCTATGTTTAAACTTCAACATGTGTTTCATTGTAAAAATAATATCTTCTTGAAAAAATTATCAAAGTATTGTAAAATAGTAATGGCTACATTTAAATAACTATTATAGCTGCCATCACTATTATACGTCACATCTCCTGTTAAACCTCAACATGCTACTTTTTGTAGCCTTGGGCGTAATAAAGTTCTGTTCTGTTCTGTTCTGGCTTAAGTATTGCTCGCAAAGAATACCTCTGGTTATGATATTATCCTGTAAAAATACAAGTGCATCTACTGGATATGTATAATATAAAGGCACAGTGCAAACAATGAAGAACTATTTTATTTTTGTTGTTGTTTTTTGTTTATTTCCCAAGACTGTTACAATTAATATACAATGGATGATACATGTACGCCTTTTTGACAAATAAAACAGCTCGAAATGGACAATAACCATTTTAGATCAGGCTATATGGCAAAAGATATTCATCATGATAGTTTTTAAATATAATTAAAATGTTATCAGCAAGTGGTTTCAATTTCTGTAAGCAGTTAAGATATAGTTTTCTTATAGTTGAATAAGTTTTTGTGTAGTGTCCAATTCGAACTGTACTACGCCTCTTAATGGTCGGTAGCCTTTTCGTCATAGCGTTTGCTGATGAAGCCCTGGCTGCTGTGATTGCTAGCATCCTTCCCCCTCCCTCCTTCCCTTCTCTCCCAAGTCCTGCTGATTCAGTATGAGTTTAACAACACTGGTGTCGAAGAGTCGGTGGATGGGTGACTGCCCCAAGATGAAACACAGGATATAAAATAATATTATGTAGTTTCGCCTTAGGGAAGTGAATTTGTTCTAAATATGGGTTTGTTCTCCCAGCAGCGAATGGGTCATCATCATCATCATCATCATCATCATCATCATCATCATCATCATCATCATCATCATCATCAACGTTATTATTATTATTATCATTATCATTATCATTATCATTATTATTATTATTTTTACAGAGCCTGGGAAGTTTGAGTTTTCTAAGCCGAGTTACATTGTGAAGGAGGGATGCGGCCAAGCCCAGGTGGTGGTGAAGAGGGTAAACGGCGCTGATGGCGAAGTGGCTGTGACGTGGAAGACCAAGGACCTTAGTGCCAAGAGCGGCCTGGAATATCAGGGCGGCGAGGACAAGATCCGCTTCAAGCATGGCGAAACCAGCAAGGTCGTCACACTCGACATATTCGGAATAAAGGCAAGTGACCACCGCAAAGAAAATCCGAAATGGGGGAACATATTTTTATTTTAAGATAAATCTTTCTGCTTCCCGACGAGGCTATTAACTGCTGTCAACAAAACAAATTCAAGTTAGACCCAGAGCGACAGGAAAGTTCTTTTTCATTTTTTCTTCTCTAAAGTCGAGGTCACTTAAAGTAACAACAAGCATCACATTCACTGTTTATCATCAGGAAGTAATACGTAACATCACCGTAGCGCGTACGTCACTCTCTACAATGCTTCATGTGAAATATAAGTACTGTTCTTACGTCTGGATATAATATTCAGTTAACAATGAGTAGAGTTCCTTCCCCTAGGTTGGGGAATAAGGTTGATATTGTTATTAATAAACAAGACAAATCCTTTCAATAATCTTAAGAATAACTATTTCATTCGACTTTAACTTCAGCATGTTTTAATGAATCACTATCAAATAGTCATGATACCAGGTGTTCGCGAAATGGTGCCCCACCCGTGGCACCCGTCACAAACACATGCAAAGGCAAGTCAATTGTTAACATGAACAAACACGGGAACATATGGGACAATGGGAACACTAGGGAATTGTATTGGACATCATTTTGACATGGGTGTGTCCTCCACTCTACAGTTTCTTCTATAAAGAACCGACTGCATCGTCGTCTTGTATCAACACAGTACATCGCTATTGCTTAGTTTCGCAAGTGGTTATATTATAGGAATAGTGCTAAATCACACTTACCCTTATATCAACCTCTGTATGATCTTCTGGAGGTTGATGCCATGAGTGACATTGTACATTTGCTTCCAGAACTCCCATGAACCTAACTTCCAGGTTGATTTGTCCTCCCCGACAGGGGGCGCTGAAGTCGGGAAGATATCCCGGGCTATTGTCACCATCATCAACGACGAAGGTAAGGCCAGACCTCATTGTGACGAGGGCCCTGTTCCACACAGTGAACTTTAATAGATACGATTGTCATAAGTCTGTGTGGGAGTAAAGTATGGGAGTCACGATCGCCTCGGCGTTAAGATCCTTAATTTGTGGAACGATGCCCTGGACTATCCTGTGGCGGTGGTCAATTGTTGTCAAAATGTCTTTATTTTAACTGCGTTACATGAAACGGTTCTGAAACATACTACCCACCTTTTGCTAAAGTTACTGATATATGGAGCCCCTTCTGAACCAAATTCTTTGAAATTATTAGTCTTTGGTTTTGGGTTTAATGGAAAAGGCAGGAGTATTGGAGTCAGGACGCGGAACAAACAAAAACTGAAATTTCACTTGAACACAATGATAATTACTTGCCGCGATAACAAATCTATTTGGTCCAACTAACCATGAGGTTTACAACCAAACTTTGTCCTGTTAAGTCTTATGGCTGCCTTATGGCTGGTGCGAAATGTGATCCTGATATCATCATCATTGAGATGTACCGAAGGAACAACAAAAACAATTAATTTTAGTTAATATAACGTTTCGAAACTTAGTGGAAGGATTTTGTTTCCATTTTCTTCAAAAACTATACTTTTGGATGATGGGGTTATTGCTTGCGCTTGTCACTACGAAGGTGCGAGTTCGATTCCCCACATGGGTACCATGTGTGAAGCCCATTCTTGGTATCTTTCGTCGTGATTAAGCTGGAATATTGCTCAAAGCGGCGTAAAGTGTACTGAATGCACATTCAAATTAATGGACTACGGTCAAGAACCAGTCATGGTCGAAGTTACCCGACCTGTAAATATGACTGTCTTCGTGAGTCGGGGCAACTGGAATCTGTAAAGATAGCATACACCATCCGTTAACCCCACTGTAGCCATGATTCTATTGACCTTCAGAGTTCAGCGCCATGGTGTCTCGCATCCAGGAGAAGACTGAGCATAACCTACAGGGGTTAAAGATCGACACCGCCACGTGGGGAGACCAGTTCCATGACGCCATGAACGTCAATGGCGGCGACGTCGAAAACGCCAGCGCGTTGTCCTATATCATGCACTTCACCACATTCTTTTGGAAGGTGAGCTATACTCGAAATAAAAAGGTCCCTTAAGCTTCAAGGGTATCTGGCCAGCGATCTACAGATGAATGTAATGTATTCGATCCTTCCTAAATGCTTGTTGAGTTTGGGCGTAACGTCCAACCACGTAACGCAGGATGCTGAAGCAGGCATACGAATATCTTACCAGTAAAATAACAGTTTTGAATTGATCCCTGGCATTTGGTCTTGCTTGAGCATGTACCCCGGGGGTGACCAGAATACGGGTGGCCAGGTTGACAGTGTGTCACCGTGCCCCGACGGCGTGGGATGTTGCTCATAATATCAACCACTGGTGTGTCTGGTCCAGACTCGAATATTTATAGGCCGCCGTGACATAGCTGGGATTCTGCTGAGTTCAGGGTGAAATAAAACGTCCATTGGGCATGTATATACTTATAGAATAAAAAAGGGGGAACGGCAAAAAAAGTAAATTATGTTTTTAGAATGAAATTGTGTCACTTCACCGAGAGACACCAGAGTTTAATCGCAGTAAAAATAACATATACTATCAGTAAGTATGTGACTTTGTTTATTTGAACTATAATATTTCTACGTGCTTACGTATTAAAAGGACTTGGTGGACCAGTCGTCTAAAGCGACAGAATTGCGTCGATGCGTGCTACGGAAACCGTGGGCTCGAATCCCAGATTGGCCCTGATTTTGATTTTAGGATGGTCAGCATCATACCCTCGCTCATTTCACCACAGATGACACCTGATGTCGTAACTGAGATTAGTGAGTGAGTGAGTGAGTTGGGTTTAACGCCGCTTTTAACATTATTCCAGTTATATCACGGCGTGTCAGTTTAATGCGGGAGGAAAGCCCGAAGTGATGCAGGTATCAGACGTTTACCACTTCGGTGAAACCAACGAGCACGGGTATGGTGCTGACAAACCTAGAAACATAATCGGGGCGAACCGGGATTCGAACCCACAATCATAGGTTTCTGGCGTGCCCAAGGGACGCAACTCTGCACGGCGAATCGCGGCGCCTTAGACGATTGGGCCACCTGTGCCCCCGTAACTGAGATTAAGTGATCCATTCATAAAATCTTCACTTTTACGCCCCATGGAACATGTTTTGCCGGGTAATCAAGACTGGTTATTCCCTGGCGGTAACGTTTTATACTAGACCTTCATCTCCGTGGGGTTTTCTGCCACATCAAGCTGACACGCCGTGATATCACTGAAATAATGTTAAAGGTGGCGTTAAACCCAACTCGTTACTCACTTCATCGTCCCGTGAAGATCCGGGGTAGAATAGGCCTTCAGCAACCCATGCTTGCCGTAAAAGGCGAATGTGCTTGTCGTAAGAGGCGACTAACAGGATCGGATGGTCAGGCTCGCTGACTTGATTGATGTATGCCATCGTATCCCAATTGTGTGGTTCAATGCTCATGATGTCAATCGCTGGTTTGTCCAGTCCAGACTCTATTATTTACAGACCGCCGTCATATAGCTGGAGTGAGTGAGTGAGTATGGTTTTACGCCGCTTTTAGCAATATTCCAGCAATATCACGGCGGGGGACAGCAGAAATGGGCGTGACGAGCGAACGCTTTAACCACTAGGCTACCCGACCGCCCCTCATAAAGCTGGAATATTGCTGAGTGCGGCGTTAAAGAACAAACAAACAAACAAACAAACACTCAGTCCATCATAACACAGACGCTCCTGGACGTAGGGTATCCAACATGGCCAGTTGACCTGCCCTGATCTACCATTATGTAATTTAATGTTCATCTTTCAGGTTCTATTTGCTTTCGTGCCTCCTCCATCTATCGGCGGAGGCTGGTTAACCTTTCTTGTGTCCTTGGCGATGATTGGCTTACTGACAGCTCTCATAAGCGACCTTGCATCTATATTCGGATGTCTGATTGGTCTGTCCCCAACCATCACCGCCATTACGTTCGTAGCACTGGGCACAAGCATGCCCGACACATTCGCTAGTCGCCAGGCAGCAATGATGGAGAGATTCGCAGACAGTTCCATCGGCAACATCAACGGCAGTAACTCCGTCAACGTGTTTCTGGGACTGGGTTTCCCGTGGCTCATCGCAACAATCTACTGGCAGATTAAGGTATGGTTTCTGATTTAACTGAATAGAAAGAGACCCGTGAAGATCCGGGGTAGAATAGGTCTACACCAACCCATGCTTGTCGTAAGAGGCGACTACCAGTATCGGGTGCTCAGGCTCGCTGATTTGGTTGATGCATGTCATCGTATCCCACTTGCGTAGATCGATGCTCATGATGTCAACCACTGGATTGTCTTTTCCAGATTCGATTATTTACAGACCGCCGTCAAAGAGCTGGGGTATTGCTGTGTGCGGCGATAAACAACAAACAAACAAACAAAATTCACTGACAAAAGAAATATTCCAGATTGATTATATGGACACACATTTTTAAATGTGTTTATTGTACAACGCCATTAGTCTTAATTCAACGTTCCCAGCGTAATCGTCGGGATCAACACATGTTTTGTTTGTTTGTTGTTTAACGCCGAACTCAGTAATATTACAGCCATATGATGGCGGTCTGTAAATAATCGAATCTGGACCAGGCAATCCAGTGATTGACATCATGAACGTCATCTATCAATTTGGATACGATGACATGTATCAACCAAGTCAGCGAGCCTGACCACCCGATCCCGTCAGTCGCCTCTTTCGACAATAATGGGTTGCTGAAGACCAATTCTTATCCGGATGTTCAAATTCACGGAACGATTAAACCATTTCTATATGAGTGAGTGAGAGAGTTGGGATTAACGCCGCTTTTAACATCATTCCAGTTATATCACGGCGTGTCAGCATAATGTGGGAGGAAAGCCCGAAGTGATGCAGGTCTCAGACGTTCACTACTTCGGTAAAAGCACGTGTATGGTGCTGAAACACCTGGCCTGTAAACATAATCGGGACGAACCGAGATTCGAACCCACAATCATGGGTTTCTGGCGTGCCCATGGGACGCAACTCTGCACAGCGAATCGCGGCGCCTTAGACGACTTGGCCATCCGTGCCTCCTATATCTGTATGAAGGCCACTTTATTATAACCCTGAAGTAAACATGAGCATTTCAAGCAATACGCGTTCAAATATAAACTGTACCATCTTCTATACTCAGGGAGTACAATTCAAAGTCGCAAAAGGATCCCTCGTGTTCTCGGTCATCCTCTACACCATCTCATCTGTCGTCGCCATCGCTGTGCTTCTCCTACGGCGAAACCTCCCCGCCATGGGCAAGGCTGAACTTGGTGGCCCCAAGGCGGGCAAGATAGGCAGTGCCATATTCGTGTTCCTCATGTGGGTGTTATACATCGTGCTGTCATCCCTTCAGGCACAGAACATCATTAACGTCATCTGAACAACGTCAAAGTAGAACCGGGAAGTCATAACATATCAATATAGCCAGTTCATTAAGATTCACGTGTTAAGCTAGCTTCAACGGGGGGCACTTTCCTATCTTTCGTATATGTGCCTCGTTTCTCAAAGCTATATTTTCAGAAAGTTCTAAATTGTAATGTAACCCTACTTAACATGTATTCCCTGGAGTTATTTCCCTTTACGGGTATGCGTGGCTGACATAACTAGTGCACCCAGTCACACAAATCCCCTTATTGGATATCACTTCTGTTTTATATTCGGGGATGATCTAGTATTTTGGGTATCATTGTACATTCTTCTTATTCTGATATCGGCGCGTGATCATCACGTGTCAACACACGGGCGTTTCATGTCGACAGTCATGTGTCGTGTGGACATTTAGAGGTGTCGTGTCGACATTCATAGGTGTCGTCGCTTAGACATTCAAAGATACTTGTCGACATTCAGATATGTTGACATTTGTACACGAGTGGGTTGTTTGTCCTCGACAAGTAAATGTATAAGATCTTCATTCTATTTTCCTAAAAAAATCCTGGACCGATTCGAAACACGCGAGGCTATAAATAGCCGTCCAATCAATTTACTCACACGAGCGAGAGAAAATGATAGGAGATGTGGAGACGTAGACGTCACTTCCTAAACGAATACCCTGGATTATCGAGGATGTGGTTAGTCTAGTGAGACAATTTCCTCGTCTTTATCCGGTATTAAGTGTCTACATTGTTTTGCCCTGACATTACAAACTGTTATTGCGTGTTTAAGAATCAAGATTATTTTCTAAATCAACATACGCCTTATTGGTGTTTTACAATAATGTTTTGGAAATTATTACCATTAATTATGCAGGCAAGAAACAGTTTGTAGCACTGTATCCGTCTGTGATGTCTTGGAAATTATACAGATCGAAAACTTAGTGCCATATTAATGCGTCTTGTCAGCCTATTATAATATACTACTCAATTTTTGATATGGATAATTAGATAATGCCATATGATTCTATTTAAATAAACACTTGACGAATGAGAATCAGTTTTGTATATCATTGAAAAATAAAATCATCCCTGTCAAAAGTTGAGTTGTATAATAGCGAAAACGATTTTTTTGTAACGTGTAATGACACTCTTTTTAAATCCTTGTGTGTACGCTTATGTTATTTAAGCCCCGATGCTTATTGTGTGTAAACTCCACAGCTGGGCGTGGCAGGGGTCGTATCCGTATTTACATTACAAACTGCTGATTGTTGAGCCAGTACGAGTTATCTCCCATTTGAGAAATCTCCTGGGTGTTAAATAATCTGTGATAGCTTATGATCTCTTCCAATATAGTTGTTTAGTGAACGCAATATAATGTTGATGAAATATGGAGGCGTAAATTCACATTTGTATATAAAGTGGATTCACATACAGTGTATGAAATAGTTATGGATTTTTATGACACATTTGCAATTGTATTTCATTATTCAGTATTTGATAAATATTTTTGCACCAATACTTATGTATATTTAACAAGTCCGACTGTGCTTATAGAGCCATATATCGTTTATGCTTCAATAAAAAAAATATTGATGGTTGGTGATATAAATATTGACGGGTTGTACAGTACTGTTCAAACCAAACATCCCCTCTTTCGCGAACAGGGCACGAATGGGAGTCTAGTAACGCACTTATAATCGTGGGCGAAATGCGTGTGTCTTATTTGAGGTCAGTGAACGTTTTCTACTGCTCAAAACTGCTTGTTCGCGAGCGGACGTTTGTTTTGAACAGAAGTGTTTGGTTGAAATGGTACAATACTCGCGTCTTACTCAGATTGCCTTCGTTGCCATTGCCAATGGTATTCCCCTTCAATGTATGGGGGTAGCATAGACGTACGTTGGGGGTTCAAGACAGTAAAAAGGGGGTTTTGCACGTAAGTCATGCAATAATACGCATGGCTTTACCTGTAGCATTACGCAGTACACAGTTCGTGCTAATCATTGCAACGGGATGAGAGTCGAAAACGCACCTTGATACTGTCTTTCTCAAGAGTTAGCAAAACCCCAAATACCATGTTATATAAATTATGTATTATGAGGAATCCCGTTTGGCCGGACAGTACCGTTCAAAATGAAATTGTTCGGGTTTTCAAATTTTCAGATTATTTTATCATGGTTAGGTAATAATATGTGTATACACCAGGACAAATGTTAAGCACCGCTCCTTTTCTTTCATTTATTCCGAACCTTCATGTATCTTTTGGAAATATCTACGATTGACGTCGAACTTATTTTGATAAATGTCTTTGATACCACCTATAACTAGTGAAATGTTAGTACAAAGTTTCACTAAACGGTCACAAATACGAAGTCATATCAAATACGTCTTCCTGAGGCAAGGGAGCTAACTGATTGGGAAACTGGACTCTTATAGTCAGTTACCTCCCTTGCCTCGGGATCATATACTGAAACACTTTGAAAACACATATTCGAATTATTAATATAATAAATTTAGTTGGCAAAATGCCTACACAATTAAGGTGTTCTGTGTATTTAGGCATGATATAATTAAACACAACACTGTTCTCGTTCGGGTTCGAATCTCATTCGATGTGTTTGGAGATGGACTTAAAAAACACATCATGTTTGATGCTTGAAAACATGATGATGCGTTTTCATTGTGGGTCAGTATATGATTCAAATAAGCAGAGTTAGCAATAAAGGTTGTCAAGAACATATTGCCATGATACATTTACAAGATAAGTCAGAAGAGATCGTTTCAGTTTCTGAATTTCAAAAGGAGTATTTCATTTTGTAAACAAAACAAATGTATTTATAAAAAAATAATGTACGATACCAAAGGAAAGCGGTGCTTAATTTTGCTCCAAGTGTACACAGAGAACACTTAACGTGCTCCCGTGTAATACCTATTTTATTAAACGAGAGAATAGTTCTGGCATCTGACGAGCGAAAGCAAGTCAGATACGAGAACTATTCACGAGTTTAATAAAGTTGGTATTACACGGGAGCGAGTTTAGTATTTTATTTATTACTTCCCGTTCATGATTTTTGTGAATGGGGCAGACACGTACGCGATCCTACTTCAAACACGTCAAAAACTGACACGTATAAATTTTATAGTATTACCATACAACGGCCCACTTTTAGTATTCAGGGTCCGTTTCACAAAGCTGTCGTAGCGCTATTCAAAGTTGTCGGAACTCCCATACTTTAACATAGACCTACGACTGTCGTTGCGCTACGATTGCCTTCGGGAACGGTTAACGGCACCACAAGGTTTAGATAAGGTCACAATGCCCTATGACGTAATTTGTGGAATTTTGTTGCAAGATCCACTGGCAAAACAATGCCATGTGACGTCAGCCTTGCAACAGGGTTGCTGGGGTCATCGTGTGTACCTAAGCTCCTCTCAGCGATCAATCATATCTACACGCAATGTCATTGAAATAGGTATGTTGGGAGCCTTCAATATTTGTCCGTGAAATATTTTTCCCGCAGTACATAAGCACGCGCTTTGGTATTACACAATGTGTAATACAGCTGTATGTTTATCAAACGGGTGATCTCTTCACGGGCGAGTAATAAATAAACGTCTCCCACCGTGTTTATCTGATAAGCAGGGTTTCCGTACTGACGGGGTATCTCTGTATGCAAGTCCACTGTATTCCACATGGAAAAAAGAGTAACTTTTAAAGAAAATATTAAACTATCGCAATTTCTACATTCCAGTACCTTGATAATAAAGTTTATAATGTTTACAAAACACTCTTTAAATAGATTATGAAATTAAGAAATTGAAATAAACCTTCATAAGTTGACGATTTTATTTCGTATTAATTGTTATTTGGTCAATATATTATCCCAGCTTGAATGGAAGAACTCTCTCTTTACTTATTCGTGACGTGGTGTCACTTGTTAACTTACACCCAGAGACAATGCTGTTTCTGAAGACACTCTGTTCAAATTACAATTTGTGCACACTTTATGTTATGAAATATGAATAATAAACATTTAATTAACACATGGAGAATGTTGTGTGGTCTGTCAAAAGAGAAAGTTAACTTGTTTGTGTCAAAGGTCCAGGGGAGACAACTGTGGGTAACTTATTTTATAAAAGACTTTTATAGCTGCTTCTAAGAACTGTTATACGCATCGTATTATAGACAAAAGCCATTGTAATATTATATTTAAATCTCAAGGAGGGTTTTTAGAAGGTTTTTACGTATAAAAGGTTAGACCACTCAATTACTTGGCTGTGTGCATATAACGTTTGCAATGTTCGTGTTTTCAAATGATTAAAGAATATCTTTCGTGTCATATTAGTGAGTGAGTCTGGTATAACGCCGCTTTTTACATTATTCCAGTTATATCGCGGCGTGTCAGTTTAATGTGGGAGGAAATCCCGAAGTGATGCAGGTATCAGACGTTTACCACTTCGGTGAAACCCACGAGCACGGGTATGGTGCTGACAAACCTAGAAACATAATCGGGGCAAACCGGGATTCGAACCCACAATCATAGGTTTCTGGTGTGCCCAGGAGACGCAACTCTGCACAGCGAATCGCGGCGCCTGAGACGACTGGGCCATCAGTGTCCCCTCTTATATGAGAGACTGATTATGAATGACAGCATGAGTTCTGCGCAGTTTTGAAGGCAGGCGGAAACAATATTCCTGTCTGTTCAGTTTGTTGTTGTATAAATGCAGAAGTTCAATTCATCCAGTGGTCGAATCTGGGCTCGATAATGGTTTGTTATGACCATTAAACCGTTCAACAATATATATACACACCAAATGCACCCACCCTCCCACCCTCATTCACTACATGGTCGTCTACGTGGTCGTCTACGTGGTCTAGTGGATAGAGCGTCTTCCCGCAGACCGGGGGATCGGTGGTTCGATCCCTGGCCGTGTCATATCAAATGACACGGTAGATATCGTTACCTTGCCTTTCGCTGGGCTGGTCGGCATCATTCTTAGTGGTTAGCACTATAAAATCGGTATCAGTCCGGACTAATACAAGCAGTCACAAACACACGTGCATGCACGTCGCTATGTAAGTGCAATTTTCTTGACGCAACGTTAAACCAAACTGACTCACACCTTACTTTGCCGTAACGCTCATCCACGTGGAGTATCCATCATGACTCCAGACGCGGATGTTCTTGTCATCCAAGGTGAAATAGGGCTTCCCTTAGGCATTCCGTGGGTTCGAATCCCAGATTCAGCTTTAGGTTTGTCAGCAGCATACCCATGCTCTTGTGACCAAAGCTGGCTAAGACATGCATCACTGTGAAATTTCTTGCCAAGATGTCAAGATATGCCGTGATATCTGGTAAGTGAAATACTGTTGAAAGCGGCGTTAAAACAAAATCACCTTCAAACTCCAACATAACACAGGCCAACATAATCTGGACGGCCAACATAACTCACTCTATCAGTTAAGCTTCCTTCCAATGATACAATTAATACTTTCACGTTTCATGTGTTTGTTTGTTTGTTTGTTTGTATGAAGGCAGTCTGTAAATAATCTAGTCTGGGCCAGACAATCCAGTGATTGACATCATGAGCATCGATCTACGCAATTAAGATACGATGACATGCACCAAGTCAGCGAGCCTGACCACCCGATCCCGTTAGTCGCCTCTTACGACAAGCATAGACGCCCTTTCCAGCAAGCATGGGTTACTGAAGACCCATTCTTCACGGGTATTTCACATTTCAGATTATGTTAGTTTCCTCTACCCTACGGATACAGGCGGAGGGTGGTTCATCTTACTTGTTACCTTGGTAATGGTTGGACTTCACTGATTGTGACTGATTCGTCTCAACAGACTCACTGCCGAGATACTACTGTGTACCACCAGTTAAACCAATCCTTAAAGTAATCATCCCTCAATAACGGTAATAATTGCGTTTCTGATAAATCCTTTGTACGTCATAACGGATACGATTGGTGGGATATTCAATTTGATGGTGTCAATGCACGTCAGATGATCACCTTAACCCAACTATGTCTTGTCTAAACCTCATCATATAACCCAGGATTTAATGATGCTCTGATTGGCTACGATTTTCGCGGATATAAGGAGAATACTGACCTTGGTTTTGGGACGAGTCAATATTTGAAAGGCCGATCAATATCGGAGCCCAATTAGTGTCCAGTGTGCCATGACACGGCCAGCGTCCATCTCACAGAGGTGGTCATTTCACCAGCTCTCCCTTGACCTAATTCGACTGGACAATGATAACAGTTGTCAGCCAGCCAATGGCGGGTCGGTTACCACTTTAAGACGCTCTTTCTGTAGGTTATTAGCTGGGAGAGAGATCTTCCCCAATGGGAAATTCACCATAATGACTCTCTGTTGAAAACAATCAACGAACAGGAAATAGTGGGAGAAATGAAACACACAACTAAGCGTTTTTTCACTGCATTGTTTGTTTATTTATTTGTTTATTAACGCTGCACTCAGCAATATTCTAGCTATATGATGGCGCTCTGTAAATAATCGAGCCTGGACCAGACAATCCAGTGATTGACATCATGAGCATCGATATAGTCAAAGGGATACGATGACATGCATCAACCAAGTCAGCGAGCCCGACCCCCGACCCTGTAAGTCGCCTCTTAAGACAAGCACGGATTGCGGAACATCAGTTCTAATCCGGATCTTCACGGGTCTCTTTCTATTCAGTTAAATCACGGATTGCGGGGCATCAATTCTAACCCGGATCTTCACCGGGCGCTCTGCAAGAAAGGAACTATAGGCGTTTATTCTGTGCGTATTTTTACTTTACAGTGATAATTTATACTAACAAACTGAAACGATATCAGTGTAAACAGAATTGTTTCAGTTAAAATGCAGCTTTGTTGTTTTGTGCCGTAGTCCGCAATACTCTAGCTGCTTGGATTTGAATAAGGTTTGTGATGGATGGTCGAGTCGAATCCTACTGAAAACCAGTGATTGACAGGATGAGCAGCGATCCTCGTCATCCGTGCACGATGACCCACGTACAATCATCGAAAACACTTGTAACCACCCGGTGCTCGACTCTTGCAACAAGCGTAGGGTAGTAGGGACATATTCTGCCCTGGAATAACCACGGCCGTACCTAGACTGAAGCGAAACAATGTATTGAATTTAGCTTGAGATGCCATTTACACCAATACATTCATCACGCCCAACCAGTGAATTATATTAAAATATACAAAGATTCCAATGTAGAGTTTGTCGATATGAACTCATATCCCGACAAACCATTTACCAGGGGCTGTATATCGTCTGGTAAGTATATGTAGATGTACTGATGGCGGACAATTTAATCTCCATAAAATGCAAATGGCGGCTTGTAGATGAGCCATTCTGGTAATGGGTCTGGGAGAGGTTTTATGACAAACGCCACGCTCAACTTGCATTGCGAACGTGAACCTTATTTGACATTGACTGGAATGAGATATGGCATAAGTGCATAGACCATAGGCTTCGTGTAGGCATAGTATTGGGTATACATTACTCGTCAAAACAAACGTTCCACGGTCGAGACCATAGCGCTAAGTACGCGGGCATCTATGCTGTAGGTTGATATGTGATTATGTTATCAGTGTTTATTCTAGAATGGCTAAAATGTGAACTTTTGAGTTGTCCAAGGTTGGCTTTAAGTGAATGTGGGATTGAGAGGTGGTTGCGTGGTAGGGTGGTTATGTGGTTGGCTGTTTGAGGTGGTTGGTTGGTTGGTTGAGTGGGTGGGTGGGTGGCTGGTTGATTGGGTAGGTGGGTGGATGGTTGTTGGTAGGTTTGTTGGTTGGTTGAGTGAGTAAGTAGTTGAGTAAGTAGTTGAGTGAAGAGATGGTTGGCTGGTTGGTTGGGTGGGTGGCTGGTTGATTTGGTAGGTTTAAATTAAACATTTCCCAACTCATTTGGGTATTAATCAAAGCCTCATTTCAAACTTGACAATTACTCTCCTTTTTCACTTTGCCATGAATAAAATCCGCATTTCTCAATTCACAATGTCAAGGACAAGCGTTCATTCTTTAAAGTGATTTGTCATTCGTATCAAGTTACGTTTTGTTGAAAGAACTCTTAGTATTCAAATTTCAGAAATTGTGAGATGTTGCTCGCAGTTAAAACTTCGCTCGTCACGCTGAAGGCATGCGGTGGATACACACAAAAAATCTACAGTAAACTACGGTTATAACGAACACGCTTATAACGAACTAACGGATATAACGAACTAACTTTTTAGTCCCGACTACTTGCTGTAGTTATACTGTATATATGCTTATAACGAATTACGGTTATAACGAGCTAAAATTGTAGTCCCTTTGAGTTCGTTATAACCGCAGGTTACTGTAATGTACATATACCTATACTTATTCTCTCTCTACAACAATTTATACGCGAAGAAGTGGGTGGATGGTTGTTGGTAGGTTTGTTGGTTGGTTGAGTGAGTGAGTAGTTGAGTAAGTAGTTGAGTAGGGAGGTGGTTGGTTGGTTGGTTGAGTGGGTGGGAGGGTGGCTGGTTGAGTGGGTAGGTGGGTGGTTGGTTGAGTGGGTGGGTGGGTGGCTGGTTGAGTGGGTAGGTGGGTGGATGGTTTGTTGGTAGGTTTGTTGGTTGGTTGGTTGAGTGAATAGTTGAGTAAGTAGTTGAGCGGGGAGGTGGTTGGTTGGTTGAGTGGGTGGTTGAGTGGGTGGTTGAGTAGGTGAGTGAGTGGTTGAGTGAGTGAGTGAGTGAGTGAGTAGCGATCCATTCCGTCAGGGCACGATGACTCACAAACACCCATGTCTGGGACCTGAGCACCAATTCTAACCCATATTCCACAAGGGTAGTTTATTTTGTGAGTGAATTTGTGGATGGGTAGGTTGGGTGAATGAGCCAGAGATTTGATAAGTGTCCCAATTACCTCACAGGGTAAGTTAAATGTGGGAGGAAATAAAGCAATCATCGAACATAATGAAGAAAATATAAGATTCGAACCCATCATCCAATGACACATGTAAGTAAAACATACTCCATAAATACATAAA